TGATTGGTGTGAGGTGGTATCTCATTGAGGTTTTGATTTGGATTTCCCTGATGCCGAGCGATGTTGAGCACTTTTTCATGTGTCTGTTGGCCATTTGGTCCCATCCTCTTTCTTTTAAAAGACAAGAATTCCTTATCTTGCACTCAAAATGACAATTCAGTGTCATGCGCTAGAGAATCTAATATTTAATATCCGAAATGGTCCAAGAAAGTGGGCAAGGAGATGGGATTTTGACACTATATCGCTCACTTCCTCGCTGGAAATGGAAACCTCCCTTCTTTGTGTAGTCGGGTGGTAGGAGAACGCAGACCTGTGCAAAGGGGGGTGGTGGACCAACAGTTCAAACTTTCACCTTTGGAGAAGGAGGAAATGCACTGGCGGAAAGGAATGCACTAGCAGGTACAAATCTCTAAGGCTTTGAGACCATGATCTCAACAGGTAAATACAAAAGTGAAGATATTTGATGGCTACTGCGAAACACCATCAGCACACTGTAGCTGAGGCCCAGTAATAGACAACTGGAAATCACGTGTGAAAACCGCGAGGATGCTTCAATTGCATGCAAGAGCCCATGCTGGTAATAAAGGTCCCTCTGCTCTCACATATGCAGAGAAGTTTCCTTATTTGTAAAGCACGCAAATGACAGTATCATCTCCAGGGACAATTTCAGGTCTGTACTCTATGATTATATTCTAATACTGGCTGAAATGCACTTTTAACTCTCAGGTGAGGAGTTGTATTTAGTCGGGCTACCAAAATAAGGTGCATTATCTCACCACAAACACATGGTAACTTTTCAATGATTTTTTTGGCTAAGATATTGAAAGGAGAACCTTCTGCACCTGTTCCTGATGTAGCTCCAGCTGACCAGATAATTTCTCTATCACTTCCACATTCTTTGCTACAATTAAAATTTCAGAGCTCACATTAATCAGTATATGCCACAATTCACTAGCTTTGATTCTTTCTTTTCTCATGCATAAATGATTTACAGATGATTGAAACACTCAGTTCTGAATCCTGTGCCCTTTTGCAAATATTCACAGACCCAGGAACTTCAAGCAGAACTTTGCTGATGCTTCTGATTTTAGACAATAATAGAGTTAGCAGATTGTGTCAAATCACTGTTTCTGCTACAACTCTGCAAAAAGCCAGGTTCATTTCTTATCAGAAACCATGCAAGTCAATAGCCAGTGGAGCCACATTGTTATAGTAGGGAAAAAAATTAATCCACTTAGATTTCTAACAAAGTAAAAATATCTACCAAAAAGGAAGACAAAATAAATACTTTTCAGAAAAACAAAAAATAGCTGATGGAACTGGGCACAGTGCAAAAAAATAAAAAGAAACAAAGATATATAATGTCAGCCCTAAAGGAGCCACTGAAAATAAATAAGAAAGAAAGAAAGCTAATACGACAAGTGTATAGATAAAGTAGAATACTAAATGAATAAAATCAGTAAAAAAAAAAAGGAATAGTGACAAAAAGGAAATAGTAAGCAGATGGGAAATTAAAAAATCATGGTAGATTTAACCCAACCAATTTCAACAATGACACTAAATACAAATAATCAAAACACTCCAGTTAGAAGAGAGAATTCCAGACTTAATATTAAAAGTGTGACATAAATATATGCTACCAACAAAAAATGAAAGCCCACTTTAAATTTAAAGACCCAAAGATGAGAACTAAAACAATGGGAAAGGTACACTATGGAAAGACTTATCACAAGAAAACTGGAGTGGTTCCATTAATATGATACATACTAGATTTCAGGACAAGAATTATTTCCAGCAATGGAGGAATATTTCCTAATAATATGGGCGTTGATTCATTAAAAGACATGGAAAACCTAAATGTACACAGACCTAAGAGCAGAGCTTGAAAACTCATGATTGAAAAAACAGAACTCCCACCAGCCTTATTTGTTTAATAAAAAATGAGTATAAAAAGGGGAAAAATAGAACTGAAAAAGCCAATTAAAAGTCCACAGTTATATTTGGAGATTTCAACATCTATATCTCAGTAGCTGATAAAATCATTAGATTAAAAAGTTAATAAGTATATAGGAAATTTGAACAACACAGTCAAGCTACTTGAACTCATTGGCCTCTACTGAACATTCCAGGCAAAAAACAAAACAAAACAGATTTAAAAAGAAAATAAATGTGGGGCACCTGGGTGGCTCAGTCAGTTAAGCGTCTGCCTTCAGCTCAGGTCATGATCTCCTGGTCCTAGGATCGAGCCCCACGTTGGACTCCCAGTTTAGTGGAGAGTCTGCTTCTCCCTCTCTCTCTGCTGGACCTACCCCCCACCCCTGCCCCTGCTCGTGCTCACTCTCTCTCTCGAATAAATAAAATCTTTAAAAATTTTTCAAAAAATACACATGGAATATTCATCACAAGAGACCTATATTAACCACAAAACAAATCTCAATAAATTTAATAAATTAAAAGTATTTTTAAAAGTGAGCTTGACCAAAAGGGAATTAAACTGAAATTAATCATAATAATACACTTGGAGATTTCCCAAACAGCTGGAAATTAAACAATATACTTAAAATATTTCAAAGAATATATTAAAAGGAGAAATAAAATATTTTGAAGTGATAAAAATAAAATGCAGCATATCAAAATTTCTGAGAAGCAGCTAACACAGTACTTAGAGGACAATTTATGGTTGTACGTGCTAGTATAAGAAAAAAGAAAAGTCTAAAATTAACATGGAGGCTAGAATAAATAATAAAGGAAAGTAATAGAGAAATTCAATGAAACCAGAAGCAGGGTCTTTGGAAGGACTGATAATATTGATGACCTCTAGCTAACCTAACCATAAAAACAAACAAAAACCCAGAAATTGTCCGCAGCAGGAATGAAAGAAGATTGGCAAAAATATACCAGGTAATTGGTAAGAAATCCTATGTAGCAATACTGCTATCAAGCTAAATATAACTCCAAGAAAAAAAATTAAACATGACAATCAATTTATAACAATTATGATATTTATTCACCAAAAGCCCAGCAACTAATTCTATAGAACAAAAATTACAAAGAGATGCTAGGGAGACATGAAGAGAAGCATCACAACAGTGGAATACTTTAACACACCACCTTCAGCACGAGACAGAGGAACCGCACGAAACACAGCGAGGACCCAGAAGATCTGAACAACATACTTACAAAGGTACAACACAGAGATGTAGATACACATAAAACTATAGTTATACATGTATATATATATAGTTCTATCTGCCTGTTTTAAACATCACAGCAACGAGGTACTATGTGTATGGCTGGGTCTATGTGTGTGTCTGTGTACTTTGCATGTGTGCAAGTATTCTTGCAACTTTTCTTTTTTTTAAGATTTTATTTATTTATTTTAGAGAGAGAGTGAAAGAGAGAGCACAAGCCCGAGGGGAGAGACAGAGGGAGAAGTAGATTCCCCACTGAGCAGGGAGCCCGATGCCTTAACCAACTGAGCCACTCAGTTGCCCCTCTTGCAACTTCTTAAGTCTGAATTTATGTCGCTCTATCATACATCGATAGAAATAACTTGACGCCCTGACCACAGGGAGCCCGTCTTTCTCTCCAGTGCACGTGGACCCGTCAGAAATACTGACTCTGTATCAGGTCACAAAATCAATCAATAAGTTCTACAGAAAATAGAAATACTATAAACAGTATTCTGAGAAAATGATGTAATAAGGCTAAGAATTAGTAGCAGAATGTAAAAGGTGGTCCATCTGGAAACAGCACAACCTTCTAAACACCTCTTGAGTGGAAAGGGACATAAAACGGGAAGTTCCTGATTTTACAAAAAGTAGTGCTCATGACACTACAGGTCAGAATCAGGGGCACATATTTAGGTAAGTGATTAAAGGAAACTTTCATGGCCTTAAATAGTGTTGGTTCGCACCCTCAGGAGTTCTCTGGGTGACATCTGAAACTTGCCCCCCGCCCCCCCCCCACCAAGGCAGAGGGCCAGGAGACACAGGCAGACCACTCGATAGCAGGTGGCGGGCTTAAGAAGCAAGGGGACTTACTTAGGAGGCTTGTTTCCCACGCGGCCAGACAGGGAGATCTCCACAACGGCCACCAGAATCTTAATTGTTTACACAAAGGCCTTAATGGGGTTCAGTCGTGTACACCCTCCATATGGTCTCAACAGCACATTGCTTTCTGAAGGCTGAGATCTTCAAAACAGCTCTGGCATGGGTGAGGCGGGTGGGTCACACATTCCAGGGACCAGGGAGGAGGCAAGCAGCCTGGGATTGCTGGGGCCAGCCCTGGGGGCCTGGGGCAGTCCTGTCCTCCTTGTGACCTCCTCCAACACATACTCCTACTGGAAAAAAGAAAATAAAAAGAAAGTGTCCATTTCCAGCACAGAAAGCTAGTAAAATCACAACAAAATAAACTAGAAAGAAAGCCAAAGCAAAGAGACAGCAAAAAAAAAAAAGTAAAGATTAGTAAGTGGAGAAGGAAAACAGATCTAACTGAAACTTTGAAATAAATAAACATTTAAAAATATGTAAACCACTGGCTAACTTAATTATTTGGGTGCCCAAAAGGAAATATAGATTAAAATGATACATTTTCTAGGGGGCGCCTGGGTGGCTCAGTCAGTTAAGCGTCTGCCTTCGGCTAAGGTCATGATCCTGGGGCCTGGAATCCAGCCCCACCACTGGCTTCCCGCTCAGCAAGAGTCTGCTTCTCCCTCTCTCTCTGCTCCTCCTTCCTGCTTATGCTCTTGTTCTCTCTCTCTCAAATGAATAAAAAAAAAATATTTTAAAAAAATGAAATATTTTTGAAAATAGAATAATAATGCATGCAGATGTATATACATACATACATGCATGTGTGTTTCCATAGATGTTTGGAATGCAATTCTAAATAAGAAATGGGACCCAGAAGAGATGCCACAATGATATTTTAAAAAATACATCAAAATGAAAAATTAGAAAACATTATTTCTTAATGATAATGAAAATACAACATATCAAACTTGGGATTGTATCTAAAGTAATGATTAGAGAGCAATTTATAGCTCTAAAGGCGTATATTAGAAAAGAGGTGGAACATCAGTGACCGAAGCTTCCACTTTAAGAAGCTAGAAATAGAACAGCAAATTTAACCCAATAGAGAAGTCTAGTTGCCCCAAAGAGAAAGACCAACAAAGCCAGAATTTGATTCTTAAAAAATAATAATAAAAATTGTTAATCTACTAGGAGGGCTGAGTAAGAAAATAAGAAAACAGAGAACAAATTACTTATATCAGGAATGAAAAGGAAAGTTTCTTTATAAATCCCACTAATACCAAAAAGTAATGAGGGTATTATAAACTATTATATTTTAATAAATTTGAAAATTCAGATTAAATGAGAAATCCTTAAAAACGCAACCTACCAAAAGTAACACAAGAAGCAATAAAAAAAATCTAATAATTCTATATCAATTTAAGTCACTGAATTTATCACCACAAACCTTTCCTTGGAGGGGAGGAGGGAAATAGCCAGGTCTAGATGGAAAATGTTTTTACTTTTTTTTTTTTTTTTATTCTTATGTTAATCCCCATACATTACATCATTAGTTCTAGATGAAGATGGAAAATGTTTTTAAATACTTAAGGAAGAACTGGTACACTCTTACAGAAACTTTTCAAAAAACAGAAGGAATACATATGTAAAGAATTACCTTACTGCTAGACTGGATGGGCCCATGTTATCTCCAGTGACTTTGGAAGTCGGCTACTGACCCTCAGCCAAGAGAAGACTAGAAGGGCCAGCTAGTAATTTGCTTAAAATGTGAAATGCCCCTGCCAGTACCTGGGGCTATCCTGTCTTCATTGTATGGAGATGTTGAGGTGATAGTTTACATCTAATTTAACCAGTTACACAGACTGGTTTGGATAAATCACCAGTGAGGGATAAACATGCGGCTATATACTTTTACCTGGGCTCTCCTGAAGCCAATATTCCTTGCACTTCTTTTGTGACTGGTAATCAAAATACAAAGAGTAACCCGTGTGACTGAAAAAGGACCGTTGAGGACTTACTTCTGGAATTCCCTCAGGCCCCAGATACTTTCCCTGCCCTTTGTTTTCCCTGCTGTACCTTACCGAAATACACCCAAAGAGTCTGTGTGTTCTTTCAATTATCTGCTTCTATACAATTTATGGAATTGGCACTGTGTGCAAGAAAGTATCCTTGGTGCCGCAGTTTTAATAATGGCTGTAGCTTTGTTTGGGAGAGAGACAAATGGAAAAGGTTGCCGAAGGAGAAGAACCTCTGATGCCCACTGGGTTTCGTGGCCATCCCTGGGGTGAAGTTGCTAAAGCACCACAGTGGTGGACAAAAGGAAAAGCTTATCTGGGGCTTTGGGGTTGGTATATCTAGGGCCAAAGATGAATTACAAGTACATTGTAAAAGAAAATTCAAGCCGAGGTCAGCCAAGGAAATGGTACCTTGGCTGCTTTGGGTTCCTTCACCAAGAATGAAAGTAACTAAGTAACAGCCCAAGACCACCCGAACCCCTGAGTTATGGCTAGTGATTTAGTCTGTAAGGGAGGGACTTAACATCATAAAGGAGTTGGGGGGAAACTCTTTGGATGGGAATATGGTCCCTGTCCAATAAATGGTCACCAACAAGATGATATAGGTAGCAGGGGGGGAGGAGAATCAAGACTACCTAAACATGGGGAGATGTGGTCAAAGACTTAGGCTGCTTTGTGAGCAAGCTTAAGGAACTCCCTCCCTCTCTTGAACATCTATTGAAGTGGATTTTACACACGAATATCAAAGAACTCTTCTTGCACCAGATACGCCCAAGTGCAAGGGAATGCTGTCTTACTCAGGCCATCTGGTGGCACCAGCTTTTGTAGAAATTTGTATAAAGGGACAAATTCTCAATCCCCAATTTGTTAACCAGGGTAAATATGAGGGTTGTATAAAGTAAATGAGACAGGAATTGTGCAACTCCAGTCATACATATGAAGTGGAATACTCCTTCTGAGGCTGCCAAAATTTTGGGAATGCAAGCAACTTTAGACTTGGTAACTGGCGAGTCTTCAATTTCTTTTTATTTTGTCTTTACCTGAGTTCATGCGGGATGCCATCATAAAAGGGCCTCCCACTGTTTGGCCCCTCGTAGGACTTTATTGTCAGGGGGATAAGCTGGGGGGAGGGAAGTGGTTGCAGACCTCCTCACCCAGCTACCACAAATGTGCCTGAATAATGGGAAGGAAATGTCCATCATTCGGAAGAAAGAAGATCAGAATAAACATGTAAAAAAACAAAAAACAAAAACCTTGGAATAATTAAGTCATGTAGACTATGTAGGAGGTTAATTAAAAATGGAAGAAATGGATAGAGTAATTACCAAAATTGGAATGGAAAACTAAAGAGATTAGATGATCCAGATGTTCCACCAACACTTAGAGCTGCGACAGGACCATGGCAGACGCACGCCATCAAAGCCAGCATCAATGACTTTTGAAATATTTGATGACCACTCAAAAGAGGAAACTACAGTCAATTCAAAACCAGTGTCAATTGAAATGGTTGGAGACAGAGACCAGAATTATGACCCTGAGTGACGGGAGGGCGAGGGTCTCTTGGCCCAACTCCTGAAGATAGGTTGGCATCATGAGCAGTGAGGTATAGAAGATCTTGCTGAAAACTTTTTCCCAGACTTCCCTGATGTCAAATTTCTTACACATATCTTGGTAGATCCTAAGTCCAAGAAGCACATTCTGTGTGACTAAGAAAGAAGCCTAGGGCAGTATTCTCAGAGCCCACTGCTTGCTTATGCTTTTCCCTGGTCTAGCATATCCTTTACCTTTAAAAGCTCACAGGAGGAGTCTGAACGTCCCTTCAGACATCTGATCTTGTGTGATCCACACAAGTTCCCAATGTGTTTTAGGAGGCCAGCACTACCTTCATACCAACATCAAACAAGGGTATTATAAGAAATGAAAATTATAGAACAACATGCCTCATAAGCATAGATACAAAATCCTGAGCAAGTGTTGCCAAATCAAATACAGATAGTCGTGACCTAATTGGCCATCAACTGTCCAAGAATGCAAGCCTGGTCAGCATTCTGACTAACCACTAATAATTAATGGTTACTTTGCCAAAAGAAAAAATCATTTTGTAAAAATCTACACCTGTCATAATAAAAACTATCAGCAGACTAAGAAGGGAATTCTTCAACATGATAAAGGCACAGCTAATATTACTCTTCATGGAAGAAGTATGGAATGTTTTGCCCCTTTGAGTAGGAAAAAGAAGGATGTCCACAATCAGTGGAGTGTTTTCAGCATTGTATTGGAGGTCTTAGCAGTGCCAAAATGGAGAAAAATGAACTAAAAGACGTAATTAGAAAGGAATGGGTAATTAGAAAGGAAATCGGTATTAAAGAGGGCACGTATTGAATGGAGCACTGGGTGTTATATGCAAACAATGAATCATGGAACACTACATCAATAACTAATGCTGTGATGTATGGTGATTAACATAACATAATAAAATTAAATTTAAAAATATTTTTAAAATATTTCTTAGAGAATAAAGGAAGACATTTGGAAAAAACTTTAGATCAAGATATAATTTTTAATATATTACAAAAAAAACAGACTAGAAAACAATTTATCAAAAAATATTTTGTGTTAATATATCACATAATTACCCATAAACACAATGAAGACACTGTTACTATATTTTTAGTAAAGATTTTAAAATGAAAAAAAAAAAAGGAAAAATAAAGACTTATTCAGAGGAATATTTTCATAACATTGGGGAAAACAAAGTATTTTTAAGTCAGGACTAGCCATAAATGAAATTCTGTTCATTAAAAGGAAGTATTACAAGCATGAAACTAAAAATCATAAAATAAGAGAACATGTGTGCATCTGCTGTAGATCCACACAAGTCAATAAACAAAAGGCATACAACTTGATTTTTTTTTATGGACAAACGATCTCAATGCAAAAATATTTCCAAATGGCCAATAAATGTGAAAAGATATTTAACATCATTAGCCATCAATGCAATGTAAATTAAAATCATAATAAGATACTTGTGTACACCCACCAGAATGTCTATTATTAAACAGATAGGCAACAATGTGGAAGGCTCAGAATTCTTACATACTATTGATATGACTCATGTGAGTTTGTATGATTACTTTTCATAACTGTTTGGTAGTATCTACTATGGGTAAGTAAGTGCCTACTCTATGACCAGCAGCAATTGGACACTAGGACATCAATACACAGAAATGAATGCTTATTTCTACCAAAAGACCTATAAGTGGATGTTCACAGCAGGCTTATTCATAATAGCCTGAATGGATAAATCAATTATGGTAGATTTATACAGTGAAATACCACACAAAAACAAATAAGAGTGATCAGTTGCCATGTAGATGGATTTCACACATAATGTTGAGTTAACAAAAAGAAAACTAGACATGACCTGTAGAGACACAGAGGCTGTGACTGGGAGGTGGGCTCAATCACGTGCCTCTGTTCATGCGGTGGCTGTAACTGCCCAACCCTTGCTCCTCCTCTCCACCACAGGAAGAACAATGCTGTGTTTCTCAGGAAATGTATAACATTATAGTTATAATATACAACTTTATAATATTATAGCTATAATATAAAGTTGTAATATATATTATTATATTATATATAATGTATACTATTATATATAATAAAATAATATATAACAATATATAATATAATAACATATAATAATTATATAATATATATGATATTATATAATATGATATATAATTATAATTATATAATTTTAATTATATAATTATATAAAATAATTATATGATAATAATTATAAAATAATTATTATATATCATATTATATAAAGTTATAATATTACAACTTTATCATTCTAAAACATTTTTAGTAAGTTATAACATTATATTTCTTTTGTAGAAACATAGGGCATTTAGAGCTTAAAAATACCTGTGGAAGCGTGACTTCACTGAGGGGTGAAGTTCCTCATCAAAATCATCCAGTTCCTGCTCCTCAGAGAGGTGCAAGAAAACCTCTCCAGGAAAGGGGGGCAAGGAATAGAGAGAGGGATGTCACCCTGCGTCCTGTAGCTCCAAGTGAGTGTAAGGTCTTGCACGTATTGTATATTGATAGTCTACGGATGATATAAAATCACTCACACTGACCCACCTGCTCTAGGCTGGGAGGCAAGAGGCTGTACTCCTCCAGGTTGAAGCTCTATTTAACTGCAGAAGGACGGCCAGGTCTTAGGAGCTCATCTTTTTTCAATCTGGATGGTTTACGACATCACCTTAGGGTACAAACAGAAAATATAGGCAAATCTTAAATGGAGTGATGGACAGAGCGTCTTATAGCTAAACACACAAACGTGTTTGCTCAGGTTTGCGGGGGGAAGAGCGTGTGTTATCTTTGGTTGTTGTCCACTTTGTGAGATCTCTGTTTAAGGGAGGAGACATCCTGAGAAGTTTTCCTTCCCTGCACGTGAGCTTTAGTAGACTCGGCACAGCGGCAGGAAGTTGTGGGAAGAAGAAACCTGTGGAAAAGGCAGACATCAGGAGATTAGAGTGAAGACAGCTATGGTTGTCTATGGTTGTCTAAGGAACAGATAGCCTCTTGGGCTTTTTTTCAGAAGCCATTAATTACAGTTTGCCCCTAATAGAGTTGAAAATACTTCTGGTTCAACAAAACAGCCTGGGAGGCACAGTTAGGGTCCCTATTGGAGCCCAGTGGATTGGAAATGGGCCACCACATGTCCCAGGCCAATAGCAGCCACCGTGCCAATCTGGGGCATACTGTGAATGACCACACGGGCTGGAAAGTTGGGACACTCAGGTTGGAGAAGAGAAAGATGCGTCACAGTGACCACAGATGCGATCAATAGAGGGGAGAAGAATGTCTCTCGTCTTGCTAGATGGGATGCTGCCCAAATCATCAATTGCTTAATAAAGCCAATTAGATCTTCAAATTGACTTTATCCTGGGTGTTTTGGATTACATATTATTCATCTCATCTACCTACCTGTCCTGCACTTGGTTTGGTGTCTCCAGTTAACGTCCTAATGGATGTGCTTTTACTGGTTCCGTTAAGTCCTAATAACCCTAAAACCTCACCTGGAAAAAAAAATATTTTTTTGATATATAGAAAGATGATAATAGAAAGATTATTAGACGTCTCAGTATGTGGCTGGCTCAGTTGGTTAAGAATCTGACTCTTGATTTTGGTTCAGGTCATGGTCTCAGGGTCATGAGATTGAGCTCCACACTCTGTGCAGAGTCTGCTTGAGACTCTCTCCCGCTCCCTCTGTCCCTCCCCCCACTCACATGCACGCACTCTCTCTGTAAAATAAGTAAATCTTTTTTTAAAAAGTGTGGAAGGAGATACAACAGATTCATAATAGGAATAAAAAGCCTGAAAATGAGAGGGAAACACATAAATTCCATGAAGAAAGAAAGAACTTAAGTAAATGGTGTTGTGACAATTAGCTTGACAAATGTAAAAGAAAAAAGTTAGATCCCCACATTGTGCCTCACACAAAAAACAAAGTGTAGGTGGAGTCAAGAGAAAATGTAACAAATAAAACTTCAGAACAGTTGGAAGGAGATACAGAAGAATATATTTTGATTTCCAAAAAGGAAAGAGTTCCTAAACAGGACACACACAGACACACAATCACAGAGTAAAAATTATAATGTTCAATCATAATAAAATTAAAACCTCAATACAACAAAAGAAATGATAAACAAAGTCAAGATTAAGAAAGTTGAAGAGCTGGCAGATGTGTAAAGAAGTTGTCTGAAACAAACAAAACAGAAAAAGGAATATCCAGAATAAAGATCCCTTAAAAATACATTAGTTTTCTTTCTTTCTTTATTTTTAGAGATTTTATTTATTCATTTGAGAGAGAGACAGAGAACACAAGCAGGAGGATAGCAAGCAGAGGGAGAGAGAGAAACAGACTCCTTGCTGAGCGGGGAGCCTGACGCAGGACTCGATCCCAGGACCCTGAGATCATGACCTGAACTGAAGGCAGATGCTTAACCATCTGAGCCACCCAGGCACCACAAAAATGCATTAGTTTTAAAAGTCAAATAGGAAGGTGGACAGGTAATACAAAAGGACAATTCACAAAAGAAGAAAGCTAACTGAGAAGATACTTGACTTCTCTGGAAAGCAAGGGAATACAGCCTCAGAGAGCAATGAATTACCGTATACTCTTAACAGATGGGCAAAGAGAAGGGCAATACTCAGCACTGCAGTGGATCTAGGAAAATAAATTCTCACATAGGTCAGGTGGGAAAATAGAGAACACTGGGGATATGGACACACACACATTCATGCCCAGCAACTCTGCAATTTCTCTTCTAGGTCCATCATCTAGACATATTCTCCCACATGTGCATTAAAGATCTATGTTATTCTTAGTGTAATCCTTATGTCATCAAAGGGCACAGAATCATCCAAGTTCAAAATTCTGTTAAGTTTTCTATTTCAACACTGCAGTATTTTCAAACAAAGTGAAGATTATGTTTTCGTCACAGGGAAAAGAGAATCTGAGAGTTTCCCATCAATTTAGTGTAAATAAAATAACCTTGGAGAATTAACAAAGTACCCCTTAAGTTGTGTTAGATAAATCAGTTTCTGAAGATTGGTATTTACCAGTGTATTAACATGGCTAAATATTATGGAGAATCTCAATTAGATTTCAGATGTGTTAATATGTATTTATGGACACAAGAGACATGTACTTTTTTATTTTTTGAGAGGGAGAAACCGTATGCAGGTGGGACAGGGAGGGGCAGAAGGAGAATCCCAAGCAGGTTCCACACCCAGCACAGAGTCTGACGCAGGGCTCGATCTCACGACCCTGAGATCATGATCTGAGCCAAAATCAAGAGTCAGTCACTTAACCAACTGCCTCATTTAACTTTCAATGCTCTTTGCCATACTTGCTTTTTCAGAGGTTCCACTGCTTTGGGACACACCAGTTTGCGAGGTTCTTCATTTTCCCTCACCGAAATCATTTACAGACCCTTGTACAACACATTACTGAGGCTTATGCTCTCTTTAAAAAGTTCAAAGAGATGTGAACTTCAAACAGAAGTTACTCCAATGCCTACAAATTTTAAAATGTATTATTGACCATTTTTATTGCTAATTTTCTAGATTTCTTCAAGAAGAACAATTTTTGTAGTTTAATCCAGAGTATTTAATGCAAAACACCAAAACCCCCAAATGAACAAGATCCACTATCTTTAATTCATTTTTTACTTCGCTCCAAGATGATAAAATTCCAAGCAGTTGGCTTAAGGACATATAATTGTAATACAGTGGGGTGATGTGGACAATGTCTGGAAATGTTTTTGATTGTCACACTCAGGTGGAGATTGCTACTGGCATCTAGTGAGTACAGATCAGGATTGCCATTGAATATTCTACAAGACACAGGACAACCTCTCCTTTCTCCCTCCCCCAACAAAGAATTCTCTGGCACAAAGTGTTAACAGTGTCACTGTTGAGAAAAGCACATCTAGTATGAGAAAAACAAACCCAGTATCATTAAAATTATTTATTCATAATCACTGCAATGTTTTCATTTATTAATCCCTTGGAATAAATTATTCTTACTTTCTACTTCAAATACTCCAAACATTCACTCAGTATAACTTTGTAGATCTAAGTTAGGTCATCCCTTCTTGGCTTTTTACAATACAATGAAGGGTGGACTCACCCAAAGGCATCATGTCTTGGGTTGGAAGTTACTGTTATTTGGCTATACTTTGAGGCTGGTGTGGGACAAATGGGTTGAAAGTGAAGGAAGGGTCACCCTTGTAGAGTTGATCCAGGCAAGGACTAGGGACAGGCAGCTTAGAATAGTTCAAAGGTCTTTGGCAATTGCAGCAAGAAATACTTACTCCAGGGTTTTGTCCCCACCCATTTCCTGGCATGATCTGTGTTAGTTAACATAATGTTGACTATCTGTTGTAACAAACAACCCCACAGTCTCAGTAACCTCAGTAGCTCAATGCCACAAAGTGTTTTGTAGGGGTTTCACTTTTTGGTTTTGCACTGGAGTGTGTGTGGGTGTGTGTTTCATGCCTTGGTCCTGCACAGTCCAGGGAGCTCTGTAGGCAGCTCATCTCCAAATGGTGACTCCCAGGCTAGGCGCCAGAAAACTTGGTTTCTGGTGACGTCTCTCTTCCTGGCTTGCAGATAGCCACCTTGCCGTGTCCTCATGTGAGTGCACAGAGAATTTCAGGGGAACACAAGTCAGTCCATAAGAGCTAACAACAGCAACAGTAGCAAGAACAGCAAAAAAAACTTACCTAAATAAGAGTATACAAGTATATTGCACTGATTTTAAGGTGTTTACAGGGTCACCAGTTGCAGAGGTCATAACATACATAAACATGAGAAATTAAGATCTGCATAAGAGTAGACCCTTGCATCATAAGAAAACATATAAAATCAGAAATATGCTTCAAAATTGTAAGAGATGTCATTTTTAAACTTTCCCCAACTTGATTATTCAAATTCTTACTGAAATTACTTATTTTAACAGGTTTCAAATTTCCTTGACAGTCACAACAGACAAAACATAGACTGCACAACATAAAATGTGAAAAATGACAGAAAAGGAAAATCCGTTTATTATGAATAAGCGAACAACAACAACAACAAAAACAAACAAACTCTGAATTACAAAACACAAATACTTGTTGGGATGAGCGCCAGGTGTTTATAAGGAAGTGTGCTGTGTCACCGTATTGTCCACCTGAAGTCAACATCACACTGCACGTTAACTAACTGGGATTTAAACAAAAACTTTAAAAAAAGCAAATACTGTGCTGTTCTGTAATCACCGCCTCTCTTTCCCCTAAAATCAGGATTAGGTCTTACTTTGTACTTGCGCACTTTATTCAAAAGGATAAGAAAATATTCAAAATTTTGATGTTGAAACAAAGAAAATAAAGCAATCTCTGTGTCATCTTGAGAGATCCGAACATTCTACAACAAAGGCATTTTCGATTTACCTCCGTATGACATGTGGGATTTAGTTGCGAGTACAGAGGCCCCATGGTCCGGTTTTGAGACGGCTCTCACTGCCTTTTCTCCTTAGTCCTACTATCCATCATGTTATTGAGAAAAATGGGGACATGAGTTTCAAAAGCATTTTGTATCCTATCTGAGATAAGATATATTAATGACATAAAATATTATCTTTAAAAAGAGGCATAAGACTAAAAAGAAACATAGGGTATTTGGGGCTTTAAGGGTCTTCCTGTGGGAGGAGTTTCCTCTTCACTGAAGGGTCAAGTTCTTCCTCAAAGTCATCCAGCTCCTGTTCCTTGGAGAGCTCCAGGAAAACCTGAGATGGACAAGAAATAAAGGGGGAGAGATGCCACGCTGCCTCTGTAGCTCCAAGTGAGTGCAAAGTGTCCGCTCACGCTGTACATTTATAGGGCATGAATGAACCGAGTCACGCACACTGACCCACCTGCTCCAGGGTGGACTGGGAGAGGCTGTACTCCTCCAGGTCGAAGCTCTGTTTAACTGCAGAAGGACGGACGGACGTTAAGAGTTCATCTATTTTTTTATTTGGAGAGTTTTACCAAGTTATGCACAAAATCTACATACATACAGATTTTAAACATGAAGGATAAGGTAATAAATATTCTCGGACTAAATATGGAAAGACAGGTGCTCGCTTGGGCAGCACATATGCTAAATATGGAAAGGCAAATTCACCCTGTGGTCTTGTAACAGGACGGAAATACTCTCCCATTGTCTTAGAGTTTGGGCCGGGGCATACCAGACTGGAAAACAACATGCAAGGTCCCAGACCACCTATGCCGGATGAGTGGAGAGACAGTTCCCCCCTGTGCTAGAACACTACCATGTGCCCCTCAACGTTTGCCTTCACTCTCTCTACTCTGCTCTTTGCTCTACCGGCTGACTTAAGAGGCTTTTTCTGGTGGTTTCCACCAGTGGTAGCTCATGAGGAGGGACAGAGGAGAGGGGAGGTCAAGGCCTTTATTCCTTCACTCCCTCCCTGATATCAACTTTGTCCCTTGATTGAAAGTCACTGCTTCTCACGAGGTCACAAATTCTACATGATTCTACTCCCGGGTTCCAGCCATTGCGTCCTCTCTTAGTCCCTTTGGACCTGAGAATGGCAACACTTCTGCTAAGTCTAGCCTTGGGTCATTGCACTGTGCCTTGCCCCTTGGCAAATGGTCCCTGCCTAAACCAAACTTTGTCAAATTATCCTAATTTTGAGTTGACCATCTGTTATCAATGCGGACTGTGATTAAGACCCCCAAATGTGCAGATACATAAAAGGAAGAAAATAATGAACCGAGAGGTAAGACTAGAAAGCAAAGGTTTCTTGTGGGCAGTTGTCCAGATTGCTGTGGCATTTCCTTTCTCCCCTCCGTGGACAGAGGATCTGGTGGGATTGACCTGTAATCTGGGGACATGGGATTGGGTCCTTGCCTCAAGTCCGGGAACATGTAAAAAATTGTGGACAGTGATGGCCCTGTACTTGCAGAGTTTGGAGAGGCCAAGATGCTGCATCCAATGGAGGTCCTCCAAGAGATCTCTTGGAAAGGGAAGGGAATTCCAAGAAGTGGCCCAGAGGCTGCAAGAGACCAAGAGACCAAGAGGAGAAGGCATCACCCACCCCAGAGTAGAAGCTTTAGTCAGAGGTTACAGATGGGAGGGAGAGGGAGTCTTCAAGGAACTCCTCTCTGCACAGGAGGCCCTCATGCTGTAGTCTGGCTCTAATGAGCAAATCAAGCTTTGCTGTCATATCTTTTCTTCCCTCTCCTTACACTCCACACCAGAGAGGCTCAAATGATCGGATGAGCAGAGGAGGAATAAGATAAGAAGGGAGATAAAACCAACCCTCCCACCTCCCTAGCTTCAAGTCTCCAAATACTAAGCAACTAAGCAACTCTGACCTGGAGTGGGCATGCGAGGCTGGAGTTCTGTGCAGTTTGCAACACCCCAGAGCAATCTGATGCTATGGGGGAATGAGTCTATGTAGCAGGACACAGGAATAGTCACAGGACATGGGTTGTGCTCACACACTATGGGGTCTACATCATTCAATAAATGTATTGCAGCTGAGAAGGTAACTGTGTCTCACCTAACATTTGGAGGGAAAAAAATTGCTAACTTACATTTCCATGACACAGTGGGGTGGAAAACTGTGATAAAAAGTTAGGTTCCTCCCCCCCAAAGCAGAACTTTAGTTTTAGCAAATGAAACACAGCAGAAGGGATCTGAGGTGGGAGGGAACATGTTTAAAGGCAGAAACATTAGAAGGCTCTGAAGAAAAGGCTCACTGTACTCTAGCGATGTCTTTGTGGACACTCCAGCCCTAAATGCCAATGATCTCTTCCCTCTAGAGTCTTATTCAATTAGGACAGGACTTCTCAACCTTGGCACTGATGACATTTTGGTCTGATCCTTCTTTGCTGTGGGAGGGAGTGGACCTGTGTGCATTGTAGGATGTTTAACATCATCCCTGGCCTTGACCTACAAGATACCAGTCGCACCCCCCAACTCCAGCCCCAGTTGTGACAACCAAAGGTATCCACAGACATTACTGAATCACTCATGGTTGAGAACCATCATTAAAAGTCTTAATACTTCTTATACTGGTTTTATGCAAGATTTGAATTTCTCTGTTTCCTGGAGTCCTATCTCCAAACAGTCACTCTTACCTATCTCTAATTTGAAGAAAGCTTGCGATAAGGGGTGCACATCCTCAACAGGCAACTTATAGACCATCAGGGAGGAGTACCTGCCAGGAATGGAGAGGGAGGCTGAGCTCCATGTTTCAAGAAGACAACCATTAATGGATGCATGTCTAAAAAGCAGCAACAACATCACCAACAATTTGTCTCAATGTACGTGTCTGCAGAGCCATGGATACAGTGATAGTGGGAATGTTCTTTAATCAACAAGAAGTCACTTTATTCAAGCAGAAGCAGGAGGGGGCTCTCACAGTATGGCTCCCTTTTACTCTTGGGAGGAATGGGAGACAGAGGAAACCAGCAGCACTTGCACTCCAAGATGGTGAGAGGCAGGATGACTTATCATCCTTCTTCCTTAGTGAGAAGAGAATAGCATTTAAGTACAAAGAACTAAGTTCACCTCCTGGCTCCACCACTAGGATTTGGCATGATCAAAACGACCTCAAGTGCCATTACTGATAATAATAAAAATGCTAAGAGCCACCACTCACTGAGCTTTGACTGATGCCTGGCACCGGGTCCCAGCTTCAGACAAGTGGTCACATTTAATGGGGATGGTTTTACCCTCTAGAAAGGATCCAGATGACCAAGGTCCATGCACACATTAGGACCTGGCACATGATAGAGCCGCCAGGAATGTGAATTCCCTTACAACAATCAGCTTCCCAATCAGTACTTTGCTCTCTTATATCCCTCCTGTGAAAAGGAAATTCCCTTGGAATTGGGCCTTTCTCTAATAATTAATCAATAAATAAAATCACAGTTAATTAATTAGAGATTAACCTCTAATTAATTAAGTCACAATTACCATAGAGTTAAAAAAAAAAAAGAAGAATGATCAAGTAAAGATTTTATTTCTCCTTGCCATAATAGAAAAACAAAAAAGATGAAACAAGCCAACCCCTGTGTTTACCTTTCCTGCCGAGCAGCCTGGGGGAAAAGTCTCAGAATTTCACAGTGGAGGGGCTCCACCTGGGCAGGGGTCTTCACCTTCATCTCTAGCAGATACTCTTTACCAAATTTGCTTTTCAGGTGTTGTATGGAACCGATACATCTGGAGGTAGGAGGAGGATGAAGTCAAGGAAGAGAAGGAGAAGATAAATCGATTGCCAGTGACTTTCAGCCTCTGGAGTCCAGGGCCAGGCCACTCCAGCCCCTGACAGTGATAACCCTGTGCAGGAAAATGTCCTTTGCTCAAGGCCCACTGGGAGCCAAGGGTGGGTTTGGATGGGCACCCACCTCAGCCTTCCGGACACCATGATGGCCACGCGGTCACACACGGCCTCTGCCTCTGCCATGTAATGAGTGGTCAGGAGGGCGCCCCTCTCCGTGTTCCTAAAGGTGGCCCGGATAGCCTGCCTAAAGGGAGGTTAGGGGCAATGTTAGCTGGTGGCAATGCTCACCGTAAGATGTCTTCTCATCTTTTAAACATGTTTTACCAGCACACATGAAATAATTAGTGAATTCAGTTTAGACAAAAAAAGGAGTTTTGGAGGGACAGCATTCATGTAAATACCCAAACTATCGGGTGGGGTAATATAATTCAGAACATGGCTGGCGCTGAAGGTAGAAGATGATACTGGGTAAAAGGTTATTTAGAAAAATGCTGAATTCCAAGGATATGTATGAGAGGGCAGTGGGAAGAAAGACAGAAAATGAGCACTTATTTAAAAGCATGATAATAATGATATAAACCCTAAAATACAAAATAGCAGATTTCAGAATTGTCCTAAGAACTTGGGATTTTTTTTTCCTCACAAGAACTGTGTATCAGGTGTGCTGTAGAAATTGAAACTGAATAATAGACTGTTGTGGTTGAGTATAAAAATGGGCCATGCATACTCCGAAGATCTACCATGAAAACAAGATTCTTAAGAGTACTAGGGTGCTAGAATTATCTTTTTCTCCTTAATAAAAACTGGCTGTGATAGGGCATCAGATTTTTCGCCCTTAATATTGCATTTCCTGATAATGGGTTGTCTTTTGCCTTATAAACAATGATTTTGAAGACTAGTTGTTATAGGACTAATCAGTTCACTTAGGATTACTCATGACATCTCCTCACCACATTTGCTGCTGCCCCTCAGGGTCCATGCCCGTGGATGGCTCATCCAGAAGCACCACTGATGGGTTTCCCAGGATGCTCAGCACGAAGCACACCTGGAACGAGAGGAACAGCATGTCTGGCACCGACCTGTGGGGTGTGCAGAGTAACACCGAGCCCTGTTCCTACCTTCCTCTTTATTCCCTCGGATAAGGCCTTCACAGGCAGCTTCAGCTGGTCCTGCAGCTTGAGTGCATCCACCAACCTGGAGGAAGCAGAGTGAGTCAATCCACATTACCCCCACACTATGAGGAATGTGTGTGGGGAATGGGTAAATCAGAACAAACACTATAGTAGAGACATTTTTAAAAAGAGTATTCAGAATGATCATAAAATTGAAACTACCTAGGATACTTTATGAGCCTTTTATAGTGGTCAAATTCATATTTTTCAATGACATCTTTCCATATTAAGGAATAATCAATAATATTTTTCTCTCCAGGCTTAATACAACACTCCACTGGCTTCTTGATAACTACGTCTTCTCCCACAGGTGTGGAGTCATTGGTTAGAATCTCCCTTCCTTGGGGTGCCTGGGTGGCTTAGATGGTTAAGCGTCTGCCTTCGGCTCAGGTCATGATCCCAGGGTCCTGGGATCGAGTCCCGCATCAGGCTCCCTGCTCCTTGGGAGCCTGCTTCTCCCTCTGCCTCTCTCTCTCTGTCTCTCATGAATAAATAATAAAATCTTTAAAAAAAAAAAAAAGAATCTCCCTTCCTTAATTCTGTGGGAACATCTTTCCTATCACATCCCCCCAGTAGAGAACCAGTGTGTCTCCCCCCACATACCGTGTGATGGTGACTGTGGCGTCCCCTTTCTTCAGCCCTTTGATGGCAGCGAACACCTCTAGATGTTCCCTTACTGACAGGTTGGGCCAGAGCACGTTCTCCTGAGGACAGTATCCCAGGAACCCGAGGGAGTCCCCCTCACTGCTCCCTTTCAAAATCACCTGCACAAAAAGTTCATTCCCACATTCAGTCCAAAATTGTGTATACACGCATATGGGCACATGAGTGCATAATTCAGTGATGTCCTCCTCGTACACACACAGCTGCCAAGAGTGCAAATGTAAATAAGTGATCACTTAGCTGTAGGCGAAAGATGGCAAAAACTCAATAAATCAAAAGGAACATATTCCACATTGTCATATCTCTCTATAGACTTTATTTCCAAGTCCATTACCTTGGTTGGATTCAGGGTGGCTTACGTGGTTGTTCATTGTTTGACTTCCTTCACTGATCCAAACATTCAAAGGAGTAGATGCTTGTTGAGAATTCTATTTCCCCAATGTTAAACTAGCTATAATTATAGGATCTGTTGTGCAAGTTTATTGTGAGCATTAAAAATGGCAGTGGTTCTCAATCAGGGGCAATCTTCTTTCCAGAGAACATTTGGTAATGCCTGGAGATGTTTTTGGTTGTTATACTTGGGTGCTGCTGGAATTGAGTGGATAGAGACCAGGGATGATGCACAGGACAGTCCCCTCACACACACACACACACAAAAACCTAGACCAAAATGTTACCAGTGCCAAACTTAAGAAATCCTGAACTAAGATAATAAATGAAAAGTCCTGGCACTAGTCTGGCACAAAGGAACCAGTAAATACTAATAAATAGCATTTATTATTTTTATGAGCCAATCACTGTGCTATATGACAATATTAACAGGTCATGTGTACCAGTGCTTACTATGTGCTAGAATCTAAGCATTTTATGTGTTTTGAATTACTTTATCCTTGGAAAAATCCTATATGACTCAGGTATTAGTTTTATCATCCCTGTTTCACATAGGAGAAAAGTAACATGTGCATAGATTTAGTAACTTGCAGAAGGTCACACAAGGTAAACCTGGGAGTTAAAGCTGGACTCTGCCTTCAGAATCCAAGCCCTTAACCCCAACTCTATGTTGTCTTTCCCCAATACAAAGGAGGAGAGAACTAGTTAATGTGGGCTCACAGAGCTTTCGATCCAGACAGAGAAATGGAAAATAAAAACAAGTAGACGCATATGGGGATGAATTATAGCCCCTGCTTAATGCTTTCAAGGCAATAAACGTGATAAAGAATAAAAAGGGAAGATCCAATGTAGCCATGAGTGTAGTCAGGGCAAATCCTTTTGCGGAGGTAAATTTTAAAGTGATGAGAAGGAGGTAACCAAGTACAAAACCGAAGGAGGAGCACTCTAGCCAATGGAAAAATAAACCCAAAGGTCCTACAGAGGGACGATGACCAAAGGCCAATGTGAGCAAGGGGTGAGCAGAGCCCAGATCTTACAGGGCCTTTTTTGGCCATGCTAAAGATTTTGGATCAATTTTTTTTTTTAATTTTTTGTTGTTATGTTAATCACCATACATTATTACATCATTAGTTTTAGATGTAGTATTCCATGATTCATTGTTTGTACATAACACCGATTTTGGATCAATTCTAAGTGAAGGATGATAAGCAGGATAGTGACATGATCTCATCTGCATCTTTTAAGGACTGTTCTGGCTGCTGTGTGAGGCAAGAGGAGAAATGGAAAGACAATTCGGAAACTTATGTTGCAATCCACACGCCTACACAACCTCTCTTCATGGTCCCACTCCCTCTGCCCTCAACCTTCTGTCAAATGTCAGCAGCAGGTCCTCCTCAGTGTTGTGGTCCCTGTGGATCTCCGGCCATCATGTTATCCATCTTGGCCTAGACGTACTGCCAAGTGACATTCACATACCATTCTAGCTTTTGATTGGGAATTTAGACAATCCTTATTTTTTTTCTCTAATCTATGACCTCTCTTTTCTGAATAAATCCTGGATCTTAGCAATTCAATTCAACAAATTCTTAGGATACATAAGTCAACAAAAAATAAAAAATAAAAAACCCAAAGATCTCTGACCTGAATAAAGCTAATGTTCAGCTTTACTTTTACCAAAACACTTCCTTTTAATATCACTACTTTTCATTCAATAAAACATATGGTGTAGATAACATGGAGCCCTTTTTGGCAGCTCACTATTTTTGGAATTAAGGAGAGAAGTTTTTAATTAATCCTCTTCATTCCATGCATAACTCAATGGATTCATAAGAAAGGATCATTTACGTATTTTTAAGACTGTCATCAATGTTCACGGGTTAATGCTTGTTCAAGGCAGCATTAATGACCATATTTCTGTGTGGTTTACTTACCTGCCCTGCGGTTGGATTTGTATCTCCAATTATCATCTTAATAGTTGTACTTTTACCAGCTCCATTGTGTCCTAAGAGCCCTATAACTTCACCTGAAAGAAATAGGTATGCTTAGAACTTCAAATAATTACAATAAATCTAAAAGCAAATACTATTGGAGGGCTCACTATGTGTCAGGCTCTGTGTCGAGTGCACGAATGCATTAATTCATCTGTTCTACACACACACACACACACACACACACACATCCCTAAGCATTGTTACTGGCTTCAATTTATAGGCAAAGAAACTGAGGGGTAAGGAGGATATATAGCTTGCTCATGCCCATGGTCACACAGCCACTGAGATGCTGAGCTGGAACAGAAACAAATTTTGGTCCCAAAGTCTGTTGCATTTAACAGACACTTTCACAAAATGTGCTCTTTGTTAGAATGGAGACTGCACTGCTGTGTCCCAGTGAGTTCCCTCTTGCGTATATTCCCTGTTGTGAAATGAATGGTACTTTGAAAGCTGTAACATCCTTCTTAACTGCCTCCTTTTTTTCTTTTCTTCTCTTTTCTTTTTTTTTTTTGGTGTTCTTTTTTTGTTTGTTTGCCTGTTTCAACAGAACAGACAGAACTGTCTTCTTAGGCAAAGAAAAAACACTGTTATTATAACTGAGGCTTTTAAGCAGGACGGATCTGTGTGTGCCTGTGGATGAGTGGGCTGCCTTTCATGCCTATCAATAGATGGCCCCAGATTCGGGTACTATTATTTCCTCCCAAAGACCTCATCTTGGGAGGTCAAGATAGCTCTGCCAACAGTTAAAACTACTGTCTCCAACCTTTTTTAACACAGAAAGAGACATTTCTTATGGCCACTTTTTTCTTCCTCTTAGCAAAGCAGTTTCTCTTTTTGCCTGCATATTCCTTCCGTAGACAGCTAGCAATGATGACGGGTTTCTGTAGAGACAAGTAAATAACAATGGGGCTTTATTCTTACCTTGAAATGAGTGAGTGCGCCATATTCCCTCCAACCACATTTTTCCCTGTACAGAATCATGAATCAGACAAGTCCTTCCCCCAGAAACTGCCATTTTCAAGTGAAATTTCCCAATCTATATTCCTGCAGGGAAATAACATTTGCACCGTATCGCATGATCTGTGCTTCTCTTTCTCAGAAAATAGGAACAGAGACATCCACCAAACCGATAGGACTGTTAAGACACACACTCACACACACACACATGCACACATGCACACAAACACACATATACCTCAGATGGACTCTCTCCTCTTGCAGTAAGCTTTACTCGGTTCATAAGACTCACAGTGTCTTACTTAGGTTTTGTAATGTGTAGCTTTTCTTACCCAAAATACAACCCTAAAAAATGAATTAACAAGTCTGTGCCTGTGTGTATGTGTGTATTTCCCTTGTTCTATCTCTGTGGACATTGCATATTCAGTGAAGTCAAGTGATGAGCTATGTGTGTAAGGACGAAAGAACCACAAAGTGTTTTTCAAAATATTGATGCATGTTTTTAGTCATTCTACCTCATCAAAGTCTTCAACAGTCCCAGCATTTGTGGTTCTCCTTCTTTCTATCTGAACATCTTCATCCTCTCCTTCGGGTTCTTCTGGGTTTGGAAAAATGCCACTGCTTCTTGGAGAAATTCTAAAATCAAAACAGTGTGATAATAACAGGTTTCCAGTTGAAAAACTTGTAGCAAAAATGAGCTTTCTGTAGACTGCTCTCAATTATGTGAATGGGTTCACTGTGAGTACAACATAACCCCCATTTTTCAGCTCTGTGCCATCTGCCTTGCAAACAACCTGGTGCCATGATGAGTCAAGTGATGCAACTCTTGCTTTTTCCCTAGGTTTACTTTTCCTTGTTGGTTGTGACTTTTAAAAAAACATAATAATAATAAAACAGGACACATTCTCTGGCAAAAGATTTTGGGGCACAGTTGTGTGAGAAAGGCATTTAGGAACTGTATTTTTGGCACCGATATTTTGGAATTCTGAAGACTTTGCGAGAACTGTGGATTGAAACATTTGGAATTTGAGACATATCCCAGGAAATCCAGGACACATAATCACCAGTATGTGAGCACTGTCCCTTCTTAGGAATGTTTGAGAATCACTCCTTCCTGACTGCTATCTATCCAGTTATTTCCTTCATCACCCCCACCACTGATTACTGCTGATTCTCATCTTCTCCCTCCTTCATGCCATCACAAATTGCTGCTGTCTGCTGATTCTTGCCACGCTCCTGCCCTACCACCTACTTTTTTTTTTTTTTCTTAAAGATTTTATTTATTTATTTGAGACAGAGAGAATGAGAGACAGAGAGCATGAGAAGGAGGAGGGTCAGAGGGAGAAG